GTTTTATATCTATTTATTATAATCCTTGGTGGTAGAATTTTTTTTCATATGCATCTCCCTTTGTGACCTGTACGAATTTTGTATTCTTCTTCTGTGACACCAACCCCAAGATGTTCTACGTAGAGTTTTAGGTTTAGGCAAGGGCCCCGATTGGTTAGGGTTAGGGTGGAGGTGGTTAGGTTTAGGGTTAGGGTTAAAGGCTGCATTTCATAGCCACTGGTTGTAAGTATCACTAGCTGAACTAAAGCTAATTTATGTGATTCATGTAGCTTTTCTTTTTGTAAATTCTATTTATGCAATTTTTGTAATTTTTTGTAAAAACAGACATACACAATACCAAGACAGAGGAAACCACAAAAACATAAAAAAATAAATTAAAAAAAACATACAGCCAGCCCTTACTCAACTTAGAGAAAAGAAAATGTGTAAATATACATGTCATTGAACAGATGTCACAGGGAGTCCACTCACATAGATTGATTCCAAGAGGCTTGAGCCAGAGGGGAACAGCAAAGTCTCAGTATCGATAAGTCAAAAAAACAAACAAACAGTGCAGAGCATTCAGGTCCCAGTTTGTGTCTGTCCTTCCTGATATATTCTATGAAAGGGCCCTGAAGCTAGTTTAAGTCTGAACTACTTTAAACTGAATGAGCTGAAGTCAAGCATTAATAGAGCATAACTTTATCCTGTTTTAACCCTTAGCTCATCAGAGATTACTTCACCAATGTCCTTGATCCACGCCTCTTTAAGATGGAGAGAGGGGTTTGCCTTAGAGAAGAGGTTAACAAGCCGAGAGATCAAATGCTTGGAGGTGGGAGGTTTGGTCATGATATCATAGAAGACATGTTGTATGGGGGTCACATCTAGACCAGGAAATGATTGCTTAACAAAATTCCTAATTTGTAAATAACGAAAAAATTGACTAGGATGTTGAACTTTGCCTGGAGCTAAGCAAAAGAAGCAAAATGATTATTAATGTAGAGGTCTTTGATAGTGCTTAAACCTTTATCTGACCAGTGCTTAAAGACAGCATCCATCACACCTGGCTTAAAACAAGGGTTCTGACATATGGGGAAAAAATTTGCAAAGCAATTTAATTTTAATGTCAGGTTTTGAGAATAGAATGGCTGATAAGGAGGCACCAGTAAGTGATACAGCATTACTAAGCTCAATCTCGCACCATCTAGGGTCTGCACTCTGCTGCACACCCAGCCGTGGACTGATTCCAGAAAACCCAGTAATAATGCCTAAAGACAGGGAGGCCTAGACCACCCTCCTCCGTGGGTTTCTGCAGGTGGGCCTTTGAAATACGGGGGGGCTTGGAGGCCCAGACAAAGGGCATGGTAATTGAGTCTAACATCTTGAAGAAGGAAGAGGTGAGAAAGATAGGCACATTCTGAAATAGATAAGTAAATTTAGGAAGCACAACCATTTTAACAATGTTGACACGACCAATCAATGAAAGGGGGAGAAGTTTCTATTTATCTATCATACACTTGAGCTTGTCAATCAGGTCCGTATAATTAAAGGAGAAGTTAGTTTTTTTTCAACCTGGTCCTTATTTCCAGCATATGGTATGTAGATCTACTCACCCATAAAGGTTTGGAGTAACTTGGAGTCCTTCGGACGCTTTTAGATCCACACGTGATTGGCGTATATCCATACAACGCAAGTGATTGGGGCATCCACAATACAGCCTCTAAATAACGCATTATCTACCGCAAAACTCTTTATTTACTATGAATCGCCAGCACTAGTCCCCTGTGAGTCTCGCTAGCCTCGGAGCTAGCGTTAGCTTAACGAGTTGCTTTGTTTACATCCTGGTCTTTCACTGGGGTGACGTCACTGAGGCGCGCAGCCGCAGCTCAGCTGACGATCAGTTGACGATCAGCTGTGTTTGTTTACACGGAGTTTGCTGCTGCTAGTTTTGCACAACATGGCAGAACACTCATCAGGTGCTTAACAGTACAGTATTCTTTTAAAGCAGCTGTGTCCTGGTGTTGGGCGTATTCACCCGGTTAAAGGCTAGCTAACTTCAGCGGGCTAACGAGCAGCCTCGGAGCTAGCGTTAGCTTATCGAACCAATTTGTTGATTAAACATGAAGACAACTCGCTCTCGGTTTGCTAAGCTAATGCTATTCACTTGATTAGTTCCTTTTACTTGATAAAACAGAAAATACAGTAGACGACAAATAATTTCATCATTTTAATTCATATTTGACTGATTACAACAGTCAAGCCACCACACAAGTTATGTGGTTTAGCCACAGCATATGTCACCATGCAGAGGTAGTAGTTCAATTAAAGATAGTTCAATTAAAGATCAGGATTCATGACTATGATGTAAAGCCAAGCTGTGCCATGACAGTGTTTTGCGGTGGTTCACACTCATAAATTAGTAATTACAGTCTTCATAGCAGCTGCATGTTTCCACAGCATGAGCAGCAAAATAAGGTGGATTCAGAGAGTTTTCATGCCTTTCCCACACTTTTAAACTAATAAAATTAATGTTTACCCATCAATCTACACTCAATGATCCACAATGATATAATGAAAACATGTTTTAACAAAGATCGTTCAGCAGCAATTGCAACTTCAAATTTGGTTGAAGTGCTTTGTACAGATGGATTTAGGGCTGTTCATCCCATTCTGTCCGGGAGATCCTTTGAGGCGCCATCAGATTGGAGGGGAGGTGTGTGAGCTAAATAGTCTTCAAGTTTTTCCACAATGGTTCTATGGGGTTTGAGTCTGGACTTTATCTGGGCCTCATCTGAGACTTGTCCTGAACAACCCTTGTGTTGTCTTGTTAACATGCACTGTTGTGCTGAAAGGTGAACTTCCCTCTATTCTGACCAGTCTCTGTGTCCCTGCTGCTAAGAACCTCCTCCAAAACACGACACTACCACCAGCTTCTCCCATATTTGACAATTTCTGTGGACAGTGTGCTCCTGAAAACACTCAAACCTTTGCCACATGTTTATTGGAGGTCAACAGAGGGTTCACTGGAATTGACTCGGTTTTTGTTCTGAAATGCAGTGTGAATTGTGGGACCTTATAAACATATGTTTGTGTGCGCTCCAATTTCCAATTTATATCCAGTCAATTCAGTTTATCCTCTGTCCAATGGCTGGACACAACTCGAGGATAATTAAAGCTGCACCTGACCACAGTATTTAGTGTCCCAGCAAAGGGACTGAATATATTTGCAAATGAGACATTTTTATTTGCAGGACTGTGAATATTTCATTTCATTTATGATTGAATGATTTAAAAAAAATTTTAAATTAACAAAACAATAAAATGTGCAAAAAGTGAAGGGGTCTGAATAATCTCTGAAGCCACTGTGCAGAGGTAAAAGCTACAGTATGTGCATAAGGCAACCCTTCACCCTGTGCCCTGATACATCCCCCGCCTCCCTTCCCTCTTTATCTTTTGGCATTTTCTTCTCTTTAGTTCCCTTTCCCTCCCTCTCTTCTTTTTCTTGCACATTAGACATCAACAGTAACAGAGCTCCCAGTGACCCGCACTCCGAACCAGCCGTTCCAGAACTTGGTGTCTTGTCCTCCATGTTCAAAGGAGATGAAGCGCAGTCCAGGGCCATACTCAGAAAATGTATTGCCGATCTGCAGTTCAAACAGAGAGGGGATAAAAAGCCCAATGTGTCCCAATGTGTCCCAAAGTCCCCAATGTGACGTGCCCTTGATGATATGCCCACTGACCCTGTCAGTGGACCTTTATTGTGGGTATTGCATCGTGCATGTGTGTTGTGTTAATTTCTGAGGAGGTGCACAACCTACGCACCAAATGGATGCTGAACACATGAAGCAGCCATCTTATGCACACGTTTGTATAGTTAACAGCAAGTATATTCTGACCCTTTGGGTAATGTCCTCTGAAGTCATGGAGACTGTGTGTGTGTTTTTCTGTGTCTGTGTACCTGTCTCCATGAGCAGTCGTCATTGTCTGGGTCGAGAATCACCGGCTCAGGTTTGAACTCCTGCATGACCTCTTGATTCTCATCCAGCAGACACACAGTCATTTGGTAGGTGCAGCCGCAGTCTGTCCTCCCACAGTACCTGCAGGATGAGCTTCAACATTAAACAGTGATGCTCCACACTTATCCACTGTGTCCACATGCATGTCAGTCCACCTCTGTCTCACCAGTCTTCCACTGTGATGGCAGGCTGAGCGTCCAGCTGCTCGCAAGAGTAACCCTCTGCTAACAAGTCGATCACCTGTCTCTTGAGACACAGCCTGGGACACACAAACCGTAATGATTTGGTGTGGGATTGATGAAAACAGTCACTCACTCACTTTCACATTGACACACATATTTAAATAAGACATATTCAGTATATATTAAATAGATGATACTACTGAGATATGCTGTGTGTAACATGATGATTTTCATTATGGGGCTACTTGACTTTTGTATTCAAAGTTCAAATTCCAAATAGACAATTAAAAAGACAAAAACAGTAATGATAAAATAAATGGGGTCAGTTTTTGTGGTGAAGAGTCTAATACCCAATTATTCCTCCATTTGTAAAGACAATAGCTCTATCTTCAACATAACTTAAGGCACATACTCCTGGTTTTATTATTAAACTCCCTGTTCTCATGGACACAATATGTGTATCATAATTAAGTATTCCAAAGCACAAATCTGACAAATGTTGAATCTGTTGTGAAAAACACTGGTCCATTTATCCAGTTGTTTTCTTTTCGCTCAAATAATCTGATTGTTGAATGTTTATTGCTTTGATTTCTTATCTTTTTATTTCATTTCATTTAATCAAAACCATCCATACTTTTACTGATAAACATAAGTTAAGTCTGAAATGAAACTAAATCGAATCATAATAATGATGGAACCATTTCTTATTGATAGTGTCAGATCTATTCCAAGCTGTCAAAAAAGATCTCATAAGTTGTCCGTACAAGCAGCTCATTATAGCCCATAGTTATCATTGTCAGGGCACCTCTCTAGGGTATATTAGAATCACAATCTGGTTTTACCGCCAAGCAGTTTTGCATAAGGATTTTGCTGTGGTATGTTTGTGAAAGTACAAATGTAAAGAAATATAAACGTAGGAAACATACTAATACTAAGTACCAGGGGAGGAATTGTTGTAAATAAACACTGGACTGGATGGTACAAATATGCGGCAAACTCTAACCTTAAGGAAGTATAGCCAAACGTAATCTAAACCTAACCAACATGCATTCATCTTCTGTAGCATTTAAGTTCAGTCATATAACGACAAACAATAGAGAGTGATAATCACTCACTCAAATGAGGTCGCAAAGTACTTGCTCACTCCGTCACTAGAGAAGTCGTGGCCACAGTCTCCTGGCATGTCTTCCACCGTCCACTGGTTCCCGCCGTTCTCCGTCAGCTCCCAGAATTCCAGCTGTTCTGAGAGGGATAATGAATACTCTCACACTGCCAATAGCAGTATCATGTATTTTTTACTGTGTATGCTTAAAGTCGTGTTCAATTACAAGGGGAGGTTTGGAGTTTGACCTGCAAAAGAAGGTCTAATTCCATTTTTTTTCTAAATATAAAAATTATACTTAAGGATAGTGAAAGCTCACTCATGAATTTAGAAATAGTCCACATACTCTGTTGCATAAAACAACCAGTTCCATAATTGCCTATCCCCTCTAAGTAAAAGGACACCTTACCATCCCCACTGGGATTCTTCAGCAGGTTCCTCGCCATGATTACAGCTCATACAGAGAAGGCAGGACCTGTCCGAGTGAAATCAAGGAAGAGCAAATTGGATCAGTACACGTGTTCATTCCAGTTCCCTAAGGCTGTCGAATCAGCTCACAACTCAAAACCGTCTGAAATGTTTGCAGCGTTGATAGAGTTGGAAACAAATGACTGTGGCTTTGTTCAGTGAGGCTAATGACGGACATAGTGTTCGGTCCCCCAGGGTTGAGTAGGTTAAAAATAAAACCAGGGCAGAGTCATCGCCATTGATTCCAAACTCAAACACCATGCAGTCTGCTGACTCACAGCACAGCAGCTGGCTGGGGCCAAAGCCGTCCTCTGTCCTTCCTGAAAAGGAGGAATCAAAGAGGATCAACCGGCAGACATCAGCCAGCAGGAAAACAACCTGGGGTTGCACTTAGAAAACAATGATTCAAGGGGATAGTTTCATTTTACCATAATACTGGGAGTGGTATATAGTTGTGTTTTATTTGTATTTTTTATAAACACTATTGCCCCATGTAGCTGATTTATACCATATCAGAAAGAAACCTGATGACAAGTATTCTTTGTAGGTTTCTCCTGAGTCTGTGCCTATAATGTTTGAATTCTTCTAGGTCAGTCACAACACAAGCAACGATAATTACTGTAAAAAGTGGAAATATCAGTAAAGCTCTATTTTACCAGAGGCATACAAAACAGGTTTGTATGTGTTAAACACTTTGCTGCATATTCCCTCCGCATTCATGCTCATCCTGGCTCCAAACACAAACAGCTGAGTCATCTGCCCCTGCAGACTCTGCATTCCAGGCACAAGAGATTACAGTGCATGCACAGTAGCGTCCTGCTCTGCTATAAATTACATGTTCAACTCTGTCTAATCACATATGAGCCACATGAAGCAAAGTGTTACTCACAGCCAAGTGAAAGCAAGTGTAGTCGTCTGTTTCCTCTACCCCTTTCTAGGATCGTCACTTATACACCTCTCCAGAGTTGCACCCTTGTGATAAAGGCTTATATAACCAGCGGAGTGCACACACACATACAGAGAGAGGGGGGAGGAGGAGAGGCAAAAAGGCTCAGAGTTGGGAGGGAGCGTCCATCCAGATGAACTCAGCAGAACCACACAAGCACACACTCAGCACAAATGTAGGTTAGAGCAAACACATCAATAGCAACAGTAGGAGAAACATCCAGGACTCTTCTGAGGAAACCATGTCGTGAACATCTCTCTCTCTCTACTGTTCCACCTGTTAAAGTGTGTTCACACTGAACATGGTCACAATTCTAACTTTGCATCATTGATAGAAATGTATCAACAAAAGTATGTTTCTGCTTCAATCCACTCCATCTTCTTTGGAGTGGCCTGAATCTCGACTGCTGACAGGAGGAAACTAGTCAGTCTCCTGTGAAAAGGCCAGTGAAAGTAGTGGGACAGAGAATGAAAGCTAATGTATCATCTCTGATGGGGAAGCAGTCATACCATCATATTGATCAACCTAAAGGGTTCTTCTTCCTGCACAAGTATAATCTTACTCAGGCTTTTTTTTTTTTACCTCTTTGCTAATGTAACACAACAAATGTCCCAATAGTGGGAATAAAAAACTTGAAAAAGTCTTCTCTACTCTTATCGTGTAATTCAGTTGGGTATTTCCATTTATGATAATCTATGCTTCTACTCCTACATATGAGGGGTGATTATTACCATACCATAATACGTTTATCTGAAAGCTATGATTACATTTCAGATTAACATTTTACATAAACACACATGACCAACCTGTATTACAGTAAAGTACATGCTTAAATAGAGTAAATTGTGTTATTGAATCTTGTACCTACTTTTTGACATGTGAAGTAAATTCCCCTCTAAATGTCTCACATGGTTTAAATTACACTCAAATCATAAAATGATTGAAAAGTCAAAAACAACTTTGTGGTGAACTCTGATATTTGACATCTGTCCCACTCACACTTTCATTCTAACTGGTGATTTGTTTACATCACATCATTTCCAGCACAGTTCAAATTGCAAAGGTTACAAATAGCAGCTAAAACAGGAGCAGTTTATTCATGTTTTCCTCACAGAAGTGGTTTATAAGCGGAGATCCCTCAAAAACATGCTCTCATCAGTTCTTCACTTGAATGTATCCCCTTCATCGTGCAGTATGATGTGTGCTCACAGTTTGACACTGGACTGTTCTCATATTCATCTCCACTCAAATCTGACGTTTGACATCACACTGTTTCAGAGCCAGTTGTAGTCAAATATATACTTGACACAAGAGAAATGGGGAAACTTCTGATATTTCTTGAAGGCATCAGAAAATGTGCATGTTCAGTGGTAGTAACACATGACACAGTGAAGTAATGAGCCATTAAACAAATTTGCTAAAGTTAAAAAATGCAAAACCTGAGTTTGGAAAATGTGTTTATATGTTCATTCCACTCAATGTCTTTTTAACAAACCAAGTTTGTGAGACTCTAAATCATTTATAAACCTCAGTCTTTGACGGCACTGCCCACTGCCCACTGCCCATTGAATCAAGGTTTTTTGAATGGGTATACAAAATTGGGCTTTATTCCGGGCCACCACACCAACAGGTCATAACACAATGAATACATTACATTATATTACAACACACAAAATACCTCCCAATATGGGAGAGGAATGATTCAAGTAAAACGTCGCAGTTTCACCAGGATTGTCCCTCAGACATTACAGTACAACAATCAACAGGAAAAAACACTGGGCCATAAATAACAAGTGATGTATACATTGTATGAAAAGCAGGAATTTCAAAAGATATTTAACACTTGGACTGCAAACGTGGCTTCCAATACAACTTTTTCCAGTTAAAGGAATACTGTAGCGTTAGTGCCTTTGTTGGAGGTGCATTTGTTTTCCTGTATTACGTCTTATTTGAAGAGGAGGATTTTCCAAAGTAACATTTTTCCACAAGGATGAGCTGCTCTGGAGGAAGTCTGTGTTGTTTTCTTTTTGTACAGAAGCTTCATCAATCTCGCTCCCAAAAGAGCAGTGCATATTCAACTGCATCGCGTTTGTAGTCTTAAATGAAGCACCAGATAGTTTGTATTCCAGTGATACAGCATCCATAATTGTCCCTCCATTAAATGGGTAGCCGTCTTATCGTTCTGTGTTTGGGAATGCGACGGTGATTCCAGTTCCCTGGAGCAGCTGCAGGGGAGGCTCCATCTTGGATCTAAGCTTCAGAGGAGGCCTGGGGTTTGAGCTGAGCCTTCTCCATGGTCGTTCCGTACGGATCTGACCTTTTAAAGAAGCCCATCTGGAGGGAAATAGAGGGAGATGCACATCAATCTGACAAATTCTAGAGGAGGAAATATCTTTAAAGGTTAATATTCCCGTCTCTTTTAAAGGTTTTACTTTCATGAAGGTTCTTCGATGGTTTGTTGTTTTGCTAAAGTTTTTCTGTGTTTGGCCCATCAGAGCACAGCTAAGTTATGAGAGAAGAAGCTGATTTCAGTGTTGGAGACTTTGTATTTTTGTCAAAATCAAAGTGCAAATGCATGGACTCATGATAAGTGAGATCAAAAGGTGTGTATAATGGTCCCTACAGTCACATCACTGTATTTGCACAATACCTGACGTGTAAGCTTTACCACATGCCAGTTATTTTCTGTTGTGATAGTGTTAGCATGGCTAGTCTTGAGTTTATTACCTTATACAGTAGATATATGAGCAGGGAAAGTAACAGCAGCCCAGCGAACACAGCCAGGATAATGATCCACACTGGAACAGAGAACATACTGTCCAGCTTGTTCCACATCACGGCCGTCACCACCTGAACAACACAGTACTGAAATGAGCCTCTGCATACCTATTTACAAGCAAACAAGTTTACAAGGTTTGTGAAATTGTAAAATCTAATAAATAGATCAGATTGTGGTACCTGTTTGGATCCCAATGGCTTGGATTTTGGAAGAATAGAATAAGGCATCTTTTCCACTTTGTAGTGAACAGAGCACTCCAGGATATACTGCTTATAAGCCCTCTGTGGACAAGTAGAGCACAGTGGGACACGTTTTAGAGAGGTGTCAGAGTTTCCAAAGAACCCCTAAATGCCCCTGATGGCTGTGCCAACAGTGTATGAAAGTGATGGAAAAAGCACAGTGCATAGACATGCTGCATGAATGTGTCTGTCCATGGTTCTCAGAATGAATCCGGGGGGCTTCCTTCCAGGAAACTGTTTAAACAAATTCAATTTTTTACATTTACTTTAGCTTCATAGAGCTGACCGAGCAGAATGGAACATGAAAAGAGCAGTAGAAGTGTCTTTGGGCAAAATTCTAAAGCCCAAATTGCCCCTGATGAATGTCCCAGCAGTATGCAAATGTATGTCCCCCCCATTTTAAAATGATGATGAGCGTAAAATATTCTGTATAGAGCATGTACAATGGAGATGGGACAAACCGTATGTAATTGCTGGTTTGCTGACATCCCAACAGAGGGCAGTATAAGAACAGATGATGTTGGTTTTCCCTTGGGTCTAGATCTTCCTTTTGAGTTAAGAGTTTCCTGTACTAACAGTGTACGTGTGACCATCAGATCAGCAGGGCAGATTGAGCTGTGTGGTCTCACCTCGATGAAGGTTTCAGCCCAGAGTCTGGAGCGTACAGTCAGGATAACACTGGCTCCTCTCTCCAGCAGCCCGGCGTCACACTGCAGCTGCCAGCACTCCACATTCGAGCAGGTCTGAGCAGGGACAGACACAAACACAGACAATGTGGGATCCTCATTAGTGATGGGACAGGTTTCATCTTCTGCAGAAATCACACTCACACACACACATTTAATAGAGTAATACCTATTCTTTTTTTTTTTTACTTAAACTTACTGACCTACGCATCTTTGGCTCTTAGTCGATAGAAATAACATTTTTGGCCTCTATGTGAGGCCAAAAAAAATTCCCAGGGTGCACTGTGGTTTTTAGAACTTCAGGTGGCTTCCTTCCAGAAAGTCAGCAGCAGACAGAAACTTGGGGCATGTGTAATGTGTGTGGTCGAGTTTTTATAACAAGGCTACGATGTAAATGAATACCCATGTCTACCAAAATATATGTCTAATGACTTAATCATTCATTTTCAAAGACATAACACTTGTTCTACTGATTCTACTGAATGTTTCCATGTACGACTTATTAACTATGAACAGTAGGATGTGTCTACATTATGTCATTGCATATTATTCAATATTATTGTATCAGAATGATATTTTGGACTTTGTTCTTCCAGACATTTTCATACTGTTAAAAATCTACTTCTGCTGTTGCTGCAAACTTTGTTTAGACATGCTGTTTTGCAGAGGCTGATAAAAGATTTGAAGTTTGGGTGGTCTGAACTAAAAAATCCAAAAGAAAGGAGGGGGGTGTAAAAGTCAGCCAGTTCACTGCCTGCATAGTATTGATTCTTTTTTAAGGGACAAATGCAGTCCAGATCTTCATTGTTAAAATACATTTTACACAGAGAGAGCGGAGACCCAAGGTGGTGTTTCAATTTCCTCTTTACATTTTTGTCAACATAGACAGAGTCAAGTTATTCTCCTTAAAATGGTGAACAAATCAGAAATGTGGATTAAATTAGTTATTTAGAACAAACGATTTGTAGAGTGATTGGCGGGATGCCATTCCCAGCCCCCCAACTTGTTTCTTCTGACATGCTGTGTGTGCATATATAGCATGTGTGGCAGGTGAGCATTATACAGTAACTGCAGCTTATTAAATCAGGGGATCCTCAGTTTATTTTTAAAGGTTAAAACCACTGGCTTGCTCGCCTCGCTGTCCCTCTCTGCCTCCTCCAACACAAACAAACTGACAGTCTGTTACGGTCAGACTAACCATCAGCAGCACCAGGAGAAATCCTACCCCCGCAGGGGCTGGTGGCCATCCATAAAGATTTGACCATCTTCAGCAGGAAAGCAGGACTGAGCATACTCGGTAGATACCGCTTTCACTTATGCACTTTCACTCAACAAGTGTACAATTCTCTGGTGAGTGTCTTCCCTCACACCCCCACCCCGACCAATCAGCTCCAAATCTTAATCATCTGGAGATACCGCCCAAATATTCCAACCA